TTCGGAACTGTGGAAATCGGAGCCCTTTATTATATATGCCAAAGTCAAAAGATCGGTTGAAAATTAAGTTCTTATACGCAACAATTTCTTGTATTTCATTGTTTGACCGAACTTTGCATTCATGCTTTTGATAATTTTTCCTACATATGTGCAGAAACTAATCAACATCCGAAAATAATAACATTTAGTGGGAACGATCGATCGACAGTTAAGTTTTTATCTGAAGGAATATTTGCTCTCAACATATCTTAAGCAAACTTGGTATTTACGAGTTCTTACCATGCTTCCTAAATATGAGCAACATCTTATAAAAAGGGAACTAATAGATAGGTCATATATATATATATCTTTTTGATAATAGCTCTAAAGGAAGAATCGGTCCAATCGTGCGTTTTTGTTTGGTCAATTTTAGCTGATTTTCTCGTTATCTGCAATTAGGAACTTCACAGTTCTTCTCCTCTCCAGGCAAATCGAGCACCATATGTCCACAAGGGTATCAATTATTCGACGTGCCGAAGAAAGCGCTTCCCTCTCGTTGACACAATATAAGTGCCACGCCCACGCGCACCAGCAGGCGCCACCTAGCAAATAAACAGCCCTTAAGTTAAACTTTTCGATATAAGCTCCGAAAAATTACCCAACACTTTGGCATAGGTCATTTATCATTAAAAATAGCCGCCGCCCGGCCACAATGCGTAATTATTGGGGTCTAGCAAAAGGCAGGCGGGCAGCTCGAAGCAGAGGTGAATGATTGAATGTGTTTCATCAAATATGTAATATGAATTATAATTTTTGTACATATACGCGTCTGCGGCAGCCGCATTTAACCCATGCCCTGTCATATCGGGTGTAACGGCAAATATCGCGTGTCTAGGGAAAATCCAACATTTTGTTGCAAGGTGGAAGCAATCCTGTGGGGCAGCCGGTGGAGTGTGGAGAGGGGAGAGGGGTGGGGTGCGACGACAGTGGCAACAATCAACGACGAGCGAGCGACAACAAAATGAGCTATAGAGCGCGCGCCAGAAGTGCCGATTTGAGGTTTGACTTATAACGGCAATATACACACACACACACACGCACACACATGTGTCGCCTGACTCACATGCATGTGTGTGTCTGAGTGTGCACACTCCACGGCAGGAACTGGGGCATAACACACACTCATCGCGGCATAAATTAAAATTTTGTTGTGCGCCTCAGTTCTCAGTGCTCGTCATTTCACAGCTCCGCAAGTGAAACACGCACAGCGCAACAGCGTGCGAGCGAGACGGAAGGCGTGGTTGTGTGTTCGGTGTGTGTGTAAAAATACTCGAATTTTATTGCCCCACTCGAGTCACGTTATGATTATGATTCGCTAGCCAAACAAACCGAAAGCTAACGCTATTCATTTGCTAATCAAAACAAATGAAAACAACATAAATTATGGCCAAAAGGAAGCGGCGGCTAATAAGGGTTAAAGCCGCAGAATTCAACATCTAACATTTACAAAAATTCTCCAACTGTGTGTGTGTGTGTGTGTGTGTGTGTGCGTGTGCCGCAATTTTAATGGCATCCTTCAAATGTGGTTTTTGCCCTACACACACAAAAATATGCGACATGCGTAATTAGAATATATGGAGCGCTGAGTTTTTAGCTCCAGTTGCCCCTCCTCCGCCCCGGGACCGAGAAAGAACTCTATACGTTTATTAATTTTTTTTTTTTTTTGGGTGGGTCTGAAACTATTTTAGACGGCGGCCACGCTCTTTGCCATTTTCAAGCTCGGCCGTTTGATAATTAATGAAGTCATAGTGCGGCGTATGTCTAAACTTAAATTCTGTGCTATCACGCAATTGCTAGACGCGACGCGACGCGGCTCGGTTTGTGTCTAGGCTAACGCCATGCTCTATGGCCACGCCCACATTTTCGCAAGTTTTTATGTTGTCGTAAAAATATTTTTATGATTTCATAATTTAACAGTTTCGGTTGTGGAGAATCAGTTCTTTATAGCCTCGCATACCCGAAACTTGCGCAAATTTCTGGCGCTGTGCACCCTGTAGCCATAAAATTTATAGATAGGGTAGCACAATGTTGTGCACAGGTTTGTCCGTACAAAATATGTCCTTAAACTGATAACAATTTTGATTTGTAAAGCTCTTCATTTGATGCCACAATTAAAATTCGCATTATTTTATGGCCTATGACACATAAAGTTTGTTGATTTCTTTCTTATGCACTTTAATAGATATCATTTTTGTCCAATTTATTGCAAAAATGTTTCTTAAGTTTTATTTTCTCAAATTTCAAGTTTAAACCCATTTCAGAAGTAGTTTAATGTAAAAACAATTTTGTGAGATGTACAATTTTTGCTCCAAAATCATGCGAGGAATTACAAAAATTTGAACATACATACTTTCCCAAATCCCTAGGAAGTCCCGCATCAATAACAATGGCAAAACATAAGCCAGTTAAATGTTGGGGCCATTTTGTTCGTTGTTTGTCTTCTAGATCTAAATCTTATGCATTTCAAAACAAAAATATATTGTCAAAAGTCATCTGACCAATATTTACACTAATCCAAATGTACTTTTCCAAGTCTTCCAACTGTCATAATTGTGCTAATTCTAACTGACCTATGTAAATGATTCAATATTGATCTAAAAAATATGAATGGTTCTTTAGCAACTTTTTGATATCGTAACAAAAACAATTGCAGGGTATTTTAAAGTGCAGCACACTCACTTAGCTCTTAAGTTATGGCTCTTGTTGCTGTTTGTTGGACACGGGCTTGACTTTTATTCACTTGTAGAGGGTATTTTAATTTTCTCATATTTGTTGAGACAACTTCGATCACATAAAGTATATATATTCTTGATCTTTATCAACAGTCGAGCTGATATGGATATGTCAGTCTGCTCATATTTCAGTTTCTATGCAAACTAGTCTCTCAGCTATAAAGATGACTTCATGAAACATCTTATATTTCCTTTCTTTGTCGTAACCGTGGTAAATAAAGTTCTAGTAGAATAATTTTTTATAGCTTCACAGTTCTCCTCACATGTCTACAAGGGTATTTAATCTTCGGCATGCCTTTTGTCCTCTTTCTATTTTTTGCTGCTTGTAGCTCTCTTAGTTGGTTCTACAAGTTGCAGATTTGAGGCACACGAAGCAGTTGGAGCGCTGGCTTATCTGAGACTTGGCTCGCAGCGCAGCGTGTATTTCAAAATTTATGCAAAATCATATTTTTCAAATGGAAAAAAAATAGAAATAAAAAAAAAAGTAACAAGAAGAAAAAGTTGCTGTGTTGTACACGGCAAGCCGAAATGGAATCACAGCGGGCCGCTTCAATGTTGCTTCTATTTAAACAAGGCGCACACCGGGCCAACAACTCGTCGGCTCGATGGGGGCACAACACATGGTGTGTGCCTGTGTGTGTGTGCGTGTGTGCGTGTGTGCGGCTGTGTATTTGTTCAAGGCCTGGTCTACCTCATGGCAAAAGGCAACAACAAGCCCGTTAAAAGCGACAGCGACAGAAAGGACAACGCGTGCACAGCTTGAAAAATGTTTGTTGTCAACATTTTGAGTTTGCATCGTTAGCTTAAAAGTGTGTCTGTGTTCGCTTACAATGGCCAAAAATCGATAAATGAGACAATGTCCGTGATTTTGGCACACAAAGAAGTTGCGTGTGAGCCACAGGAATTTAATGTCATATTCTGAGAAATGCCTTTAATAAGCTGGCGGCATTTATTTTCATGCGGTTAACAACCCAAAAAGTTGATATTAAATATTTTTAGCGACATATTGAAAATATATATATAATCTTTGCTTCTAGATAGTTACTAGAAAAATCAGCAGACCTCTTTTGGGAAACCGAACCTTAAACCAAATCATATTGCCAAAAACAAAGCTGAGCCCAAACCCGAACCGAACTATCTTTATTTTTTCAAATATAGTTTCGTTGGGAATAACAAGTTTTTGTGGGTAATCAATTGAGTACTAATCATTGCATTGATCTGTCCATATTTGATAGAGAGTTTCCTTTATTATTTGTAAATAATTATAGTCCCAAACTAAGTTGTGAATCGAAGTTTATGAATCATGGCGGGAAACCAGCTTCTCGAAGCGAGGCAAGGAATACGTTGTTATTGCCTCATTTCTATATAAACGCTATATTTAAAATGATATGAAAATAGCCGCACATCATTAAGTATCGATTTCGTGCTTTATTCTATTCAGTTTGCAAATAACCATTTATTTTATCGCCGTTTGTGTTATCGATTTGCCATAACAACTGCTGCAATAACATCGTGTGCCTCGCAGCACACAAAATTGAAATGTAAATAAATAAAAGTATCACCTACAGAAAACTCTGCCGCGAAACGCTGGAGCTCGCACCCCGAACTTGCAGCGCAATTGCCTCGCGCTTGTGCCACATTTTGGGGCACACACCCACGCAAAAGGCAAAGTTACGGCAAACTCTTGCAATTAAACTGTCAGACTTATGAATTCATTAAATATTTAAACTGTAGATTTTGAATAATTAAAATTCCATTTATACATGCATATACATATAGCCGCAACAACAAATACGCCCTGCCACAAAACTCTGGCAATAAATCTGCGATTAATTAAAAAGACTTGGGAGCCCGGCTGGGCTGCCAGCTCGTATACGTAATGGCAATATGACTTAATTACAAAAACATAACCAAAACCCAATACCAGAACGCTTCTATTGTTCGTGTTTTCCTTTGTTTCTTTTTTTTTTTTTTTTGTTAACTCTTCTTTTTTTTTGCTAACTTTTAACTCTTTCGACCCACTCGCTTTCCATTGAACTATTGTCTGGCAACGCTGTAAATTTATGCAAATCACAGCGCTTAAGGTGTAGCGAACCGTGCAGAATGTAGTGCTTTGGCTTTTGTTGTCGCACGATGAATGTTTCCCTTTATTTATTTACTTTTTTTTCTTCTGCTTCTTCTTCTACCTATAAGTTGGTCGTGCTCGCATTTTGAATGGCACTCACTCACCTGGATCGTCGTCGTCGTCCCAATCGATTTGACCGGAAGCAATATTGATGTGTGCTGCCATCAGCAGCAGCAGCATTGTGAATAGCGCCAAATGTTGGCGTTGCCAGACGTTGCCGTAGGAAGTTGTTATGTGCATTGTCGAGGAAGTAGTTGCCGTATCAGTTGTGCGGAAGCGCGAATTTGTTCTAGTTCTAGACGTTGCCTTCGAACTCAGCCAATGCATTTCTGTTGAATAATACAATTTATGCGAATACACACTTGTCGTGTATATCTTTTTTGCGATTCGTTACACGTTGTTCCTTTTTTTTTTAGTTATTTTTTCTTTTTTTTATTTTAATTTTAACACACACACCGCAACACTAACGAGCGCGCGTGAGAACAAAAGTTGCGCTTGGGGCGCGTGGCTTGGGCTCAGTATTTGGCCGGGCCCTGGCTGCAACTGCAGCAGCCCTTATTTGGCCTTAAACATGCTCGCCAACACTAATGAAGCGAAATGAGCAAATATTTCTTAAAATTCGCTGCAATGTGGCGCCCTCCACAGCCACAGGCGCACTCCTTGAACTGGCTAGCTGGCTGGCTGGCTGGGGCTGGTTGCAATGTACACGGCTTTTTGCTCGACAACAACTAATTAAGTTGTTTCATGTACAGTTTTTTTTGTGCCTTGAGCACAAGTTTTGTGCTTTTCGAGTCGTTGCCGCAGCAGCGTATTGAGGTGTTGCATTGTTCAGTTGCATTCACAGCTTGCAAGTAATCCTGCCACCAACTGCTGTAAAGAGAGAAAAAGAGTTGAAAACGTAACAGTTAATTATGATTTGCTTTTATATAAAAAAAAAGCTAGAAACGAAGCGCAGCAAAGCTAAATAAAACCATTCTTAAGTGCATTAACAAATTAACTGATTCTCAGCTGCCGGCCCTAGATTGAGTGGCTCGCCTGTTTTTCATTCACGGCTAAAACTCAAACGTTGCAGTTCATTCAATTAAATTCACACGTATTTGAGTAAAGGCCAAATGCAATCAGTACTTCGACAAGGCAACATCTTTTTGCAATTGCGAATACTTCGCATTTCCAATTAATTACTTCTAGACTTTTTCATAATAATGCAAGAGAGATTAGATTCCCTTTGAATGCTTTTGCACTGATCAATGTATGTACAAGAGTCTGTCCAGACAGACTGATTGACTAATTGGGGATCAAAGTAGAGTCCAAACCTTAAGAGCTTTCGTACACATTTCATTGTCCAGACAAACTGATTGACTGACTAATTAGTGAGCGCAATACTTAATAGCTTCAGTAAAAATCTTCTTTTTTGGGAAATTCAGCCTCAAAGTGGGGAAGAGAGTGCTTTATTTTCTATGAATAACATCAACAACAACACGGTCATAAAAAACCGGGTCGGTTACGTGTCTAACCATTGAACTGTCAAGCGCGACGTCGCTGGCTGAACTCGAAAAGTGCTGTAGCATTTAATACTTAGAGTTCACGAATATGTACACATCACATTGTAGATAATAATCATCAAAAGTCACGAAGTTCTTAAAAAACAGCTGCTATCTAATCTATTTATACGTTAAAGTTGTCAAATATGTATATTAATACTTAACATTTAATAACAATATCTGAAATATTGTCAAACTTTATGAGCTATAAAGAGACTTTTATCTATGCACATAGTTTTTAGCTAATGTGGCTAATAAGTAAATTATAAATGTTAGTTTGTTTGGCAAAATGTAGTTGAAAAGTTAAAAGCAACTTGAAATTAGTATGTAATTTAAAAAGTTTTTCCTAGCAACTTTTTTAGCAAAGCAATACTCTGCTGTAATCTGATTCCAGCTATATATACATATATATTTATATTTAAAAATATTCTAGAGGGGGATTTCGCTGGACTTGTCCGTGGTACGTATAAAATAAATAAACTAAGAGCCAAACCTTATGAAAATCAGTTGAGTTTTATGGGGTTATGGGGGTGGAAAATTTAGACCTATGTCTATATAGGGTATTTGAGGGTACCATTTTCACATGAATTTTGACTAAAAATAATATTGCCAGATTTAGATGCCAAATTGATCTAGAGGGTAAACCATGGACAAAAAGCCAAACCTTATGAAAATCGGTTAAGTTTTGACCGAGTTATGGGGGAGTATTTTGACCTATGTTTATATAGGATATTTGAGAGTACCATTTTCACATGAATTTTGACTAAAAATAATGTTGCCAGATTTAGATGGCAAATTAAACTAGAGGCTAAACCATGGACAAACAGTCAAACCTCGTGGAAATCTGAAGAGATTTGACCGACTTATGGGGGTGGGAAATTTCGACCTATGTCAATACATAGAGGTTAATTGCGGGTATAAACCGACCTTGCCCATGCCAGGTGTAAGATAAATTCTCACAAAGATCTTTGAAAATGAGTTTGAGGTTGATCGGGTGGTAAACAAAAAAGTAGCATACAAATGTTTATCCAGACTTGCGGGTGGAATTTCCTGAAACCCCATCTTAACGTGCACCTTCATCACATAAGGTAACCTCAGTAAAATTTCAACTGCCTATCTCTTACGGTATGCTTTGTGTGTTGATTACCAATCAGTCAGTCAGTCATTCAGTCAGGACAGTCTGTTTTATATATAGAGATAAAGAGAGTTTAATCAACTATCATGCTTCTTAGACCCCTATGACCAAATACTTGACTCTTATCGTTAGCTGTCTGTAAGATCTTCCTAATTGCACGCTGAACTACTTGTTAACGAAACGGATATAAGTTTCACTTTTCGAAGCACAAGCAAATACCCAACGATACGCTTTTGTAGGGCTCTCAGTCAGTCGGTCGCTTCTTAAAGCGCCCTGAACAAAGCGTGCCAAAAAGTGTTGCCTACTTTTTTGGTGGAATTGTGGGGCAGCACGCCATATGCACGCCTCAACGCCCACTATCCGCAGTGACTAATTTGCCGTAGTTTCGGCTGCTCTCAGCCGCTGCCTGCCTTATTATGCGCACTTCAAACTTTAGACAACGCGGCAGCAGCAGCAGCAGCGACGGCGGCAGCGGCAGCGACAGCAACAATAACAACGCGGCTCGGAATCCGCCACAATGTTGTTCATTTTTGGCAAGCTTCGTGCACCGCGCCGCACCGTGTTGTGCTGTGCCGTGCAACGCCGCGCTGCCCGCCAGCCCTTGGCTTGGCTGATTTTTAATGCAGGCAGCCACTCACTCAAATTTTCGAGTGCGCCAATGCCGCTGCAGCAAAATGTTGTATAGTTTTCGTTTAATTTGATGCCATTGTTGTTGTAGTTGTTGCTATTGCTGTTGTTGCCGCTAGCGAAACTGTGTCGCTAAAGTTTCACGTCGGACCGGCTGATTCGACGAAGCACAAGTGAATACAGAAAAAATTACGCCCCATCCACCCCCTAACAAACACTTAAAATGAAAAAAAAAGATGAGTAATATAGTCCGGAGTACTCGACCAGGCGATACCCTGAAGCCAGCGTGGAGCTGACATTCAAACTTTTGTCTACACATACACATAAACACACACATGCATGTGGGCGCTGCTCTGCTTCTTCTTTCCTTATCCACGGACTATTGAGAATGCGTTCCTGGGTAACTTCGGTGCTTATAGTCCGATCTTTATGAAATTTTCAGGGCCTAAAGATGACATACTTAAATGTGTAAACATACACAATATAAATATTAAAAAAAGTAAAAAAAAATAATAATAATTATTAAATGTGTATGTATTGAACCCCAAGGCTCCACCTTCCTTTTCAAATTAGTTATTTCAGTTTATGGCGAAGGGTAGACATTGAGGGGGAATTTTCAAAAAAAAAAAAATTCTACAGCTTTAAATCTGTTCCAAGCCTATCAAATTATCGATAATTATCGTTATCTGCGTATGGCACTCAAGAATTTATAACTCCAATATCAAGTCTCTAGCTTTTCTAGTTTCTAAGCTCTACGCGTTCACACAGGAGAACAAACGGATATAGCTCTAATCAAGAATCTGTCTACTTTGTCGGGTTGGAGATGCTTCCTGCTGCCTGTTACATGGTTTTGCACATAAACCCTTTTGCCCATTTCATTGAGGGTATAAAAAAGAAAATGGAGGGGGTTGAAAAAAAGTTGTCTGCCAAAATCAGCGCCACTTTTGCCACAGACATTAAGCGTTGCATGCAAAATTACCAGCGAGTGGTTTGTATTTCCACTCTGATTGTTGTTTAACATGGTTACATTGTCCTTGCAACTGAATCCTGTTCGGCAGTTATTTTAGTTGTGCTTGCAACGGTGCATCCATGTGGCTGCTGCTCCTGCTGCTGCTTCTACTCTGATTCTAGCCCTTGCCTGCGGCTGTGGTTATGCATCATGTCATGCTCTAGTTGCAAAACTTTTGCTGTTTCGCTTCTTTTTTTCTAGCATTTTTTATCGCTTTATTTATATGCATATGGGACAAGTGGCATAAAAAAGTGCAACAAGCAGCTAACTATACATAAATTTGTTTTATGCACAACATAAACTTTTGCACATTTGTTGCCAAAAAAAAAATGAAAAACGTAAAACGTAAATTCTAAAATATAAAAGCTCAGCTAGTAAACAGGACCCTTTGTTGTGCACCTGCAGCATCAACTAATTTGTGCTTAGACAAAGCCAAACGAAGTGAGCAAACTTTTGCAGCTTAACTGTCGGGCTGCATGCAGCATGCGGCATACACATGTAACTAGTTGCAGGTTACTTCATCAACATTTCACGCTCGACTTGGCCAAACCAGGCTAGAAGAAATGGCTGCTGCCGCCTGCGATGCCAGGCACGCAGTAAAAATGTATGCCCCATGCCCACATGCCACAGCTGGCCGGGCGGGCTGTGCGTCTAACTGTTTGCCGCACCTGGCCAAAAACTCTGCCGACAAAATAAACTCTACTCAACTGTTGAAAATCAACTGGCGACCCCAGAGCGCACACCGTTCCGTATACGTGGTCCACAAAAGTTTGCAATCAATTTTTTCACAATTTTTTTTTCTTCTTTTTCTTCTTCACTCGACCACCGCAAATACTTGGGAAACATATTGAGCGGTGCGAACGTAAGCTTATTCCCACAACCTATGTAATAGATCAAGTACAAATAACGTAGTAAAATATACTCAAATTTAGTTCCCCTGAACTAAATTTACTGGCGCTATAAGCGCTACCTTAGCAAACCCTATCTAATATGGTGAGGCGCTTTGTTTTCAGTTTGGGTTTGTATATTCATCCACATCAAATTGACTGTCAATTAAGTTGTAT